TAGTTCTTTCTTCTTCCCTTCCTCTACACTACATGTTTCGGCCCTAAATGGCCATCATCAGGTGTGTATTCTTACGTAGCTGCTACACTGCCCGCAGTTTAAAATTTAAAATCACCAGTCTTTCCAATTGTATGTATGTATAAAATATTTGTTAACCTACACACGTCAGTTTAATTTCTAAAATTGGCACTTTTTTAAAACTTCAATTCAAATTAAAATGTCTATAAATTTTCTGTTCTTTTCTTTTTCCAAATTTTTAAAAATTTTCTCGGGGTACATGCCCTATGTCTATAGTGCTGCAGCGGCCACTTCTTGTTTTATCGCTGTTCAGGTACTGTTCTGTGTGTGTCGCTGCTTATCTTTAATACACGTATTAAAGATAAGCAGCGACACACACACACACACAGAGCCTACACAGAACAGTACCTGAACAGCGATAAAACAAGAAGTGGCCGCTGCAGCACTATAGTCATAGGGCGTGTACCCCGAGAAAATTTTTAAAAATTTGGAAAAAGAAAAGAACAGAAAATTTATAGACATTTTAATTTGAATTGAAGTTTTAAAAAAGTGCCAATTTTAGAAATTAAACTGACGTGTGTAGGTTAACAAATATTTTATACATACATACAATTGGAAAGACTGGTGATTTTAAATTTTAAACTGCGGGCAGTGTAGCAGCTACGTAAGAATACACACCTGATGATGGCCATTTAGGGCCGAAACATGTAGTGTAGAGGAAGGGAAGAAGAAAGAACTAAATTAAATTGTTGCACTTAAGACAGAATTTGTCTCATATATGTTAGTTTGGTTGTCGTGCGACATATAGCGACAGCAGACCAGTCTACCAAAATCGGGTCTGACATGGAAGTATGTACGAAACAGAGATGTGTTATTGAATTTCTCACTGCCGAACAAATTGCACCCACTGACATCCATCGACGCTTGCTAAAGGTGTATGGAGATGATACAGTGGAAGTCAGCACAGTGAGGTGGTGGGTAGTGCGCTGCAACGGTGGGGACAAGCCAGGCCCTGGGCATCCCTGCTCAGCTGCCACTCCTCACAATGAACAGAGCCTCAATCAGCTCATCTGTACAGATCGGCACATAACGACCAGGGAACTGTGTGCACAGCTTAATATCAGCTGTAATGCATTGGAAACGATGTTGGGGAAGCTGGATTATTGCAAAGTTTGTTTCAGGTGGGTCCCGCAGATGCTTAAGCTGGACCACAAAACTCATCGAATGGAAGTCTGTCAGAACCTGTTGCACCAGTCTGAGGCTGAAGATGACAAGTTTCTGCATCATCACCGGAGATGAGACATGGTGTCACCACTACGAGCCAGAATCCAAAAGACAGTCCATGGAGTGGCGACATCGGGATTCCCCAAGAAAAAAGAAGTTCAAGAGAGAGCCATCAGCAGGGAAAGTGATGTGCACAGTCTTTTGGGATAGGCAGTGTGCGATTTTGTTGGTTTTCCTGGAGCCTCGTGAGACTGTCAATTCTGAAAGCTACAAGATGACGCTAAGCTGAAAGCCCGCGTTTCCCGAGTCAGGCCAGAGAAGCAGACCTTTCATTTGCAACATGATAACGCTAGACCCCATACCAGTTTTGCGACCACCACACGCAATTGCAAAGTTTGGCTGGACTGTCCTATCACATCCACCTTCAGACTTCCATCTCTTTGGGCCTATGAAAGATGGACTATGTGGGCAACATTTTCCAGACAACGATGCTGTCATGGCAGCTGTAAGAAAGTGATTTGTCTCTGCTGGCGCAGACATTTACGAGCGCAGCATACAAGCTCTTGTTCATCGCTGGCAAACGTGCATAACGAATGGTGGTGATTATGTGGAAAAATAACTGCAAGTAGCTGAAATCTTGCTCTATTTAACTGTGTTATTATGCTTTCTGTATCAGTTGTAGTTTTCATTAAAAAAATAGGAGGCATTATATATGGAATGCTCCTCGTAGATATTGATATCAGTTTGGTTTACTCAAAAAGTATCAGGCCAATAACCACCATGTACTTATAGCACACTGCACCTCTGCATTTACAGTGAAATAGTATCTGTAGAATGGCATGAGGATTCTGATCACTCCATATAGGATATTTTGCATATTAACATGCCTCATCAATTTTCAACAGTGACTCTGGGTCTATGACCACTCACATCAATTCTGCAATTTATACTTACCAAAGTATATAATTGTTGCACAATCTGTTTTTTAAGCTCATGCAAAACCATAAATTTAAAACTCCGTGATCTAAGTCCACAAGCGAACTATACTGACTGGGCGACTGCCGCTTGTCGGTGAAGTTTAGTACCAACTTTTGTGGACAGAGGGTGTCACGTGGTCAGCGCAATGAATTCCCACAGCCATTAATTTCGGTTTTCTAGACCAGAGCCGCTATTTGCTTGAAATAGCTGAAGTATAATCACGAGGCTGAGTGGACCCCGTTCCAGACACACTACTTCTCAGAAAAAATCTAGTAGCGCCGGGAATCGAACCTGGACCTCTGGATCCATAGCCAGGAACGCTGACCACTAGACCACAGAGGCAGTCACCATAAATTTATACAAGTGGAATTTACTGGTCTTGTAGCTGTGCAGATTTCAGGAAAACACCAATTTCTTGTGCCAAGTATCTTAATGATTGGCGAGGACTGATCTCTAACTATGCCTAAACATACTGAATGTTTTCTTCAGTTAGCACACTCCTCTTGGATCGTCTCTTTTTGTCACAAAATGAACATGTCATCTACCATTTTTTGACAAGCTTCCATATACAGAACTTCGTGGAAACTCATTCTTGTGGGTATTTACTGAGGGCTTCTGAATGGATTTCTGTTACATTTTCTTCTTTTATAAAGTATTCAACTGTGAAAACTTTCTGTTGAATCATATGCCATATTATAAGAATAATGAATGAATTCAGATATACTGATCTGAGTAAGCAGAACTTTCAGTCACTACCATACTGACTGCAATATGTTGACTGTGTGAATGACACTTGTCATACCAACCATACTGATCACAATATGTTTGTTGGCCCTATGAATAAGTCTCAACATATCAACTGTGCCAATCCTAATATGTTTCACGAATGCACAAATGACTCATCATCAGAATGTCAAGTCCCACAGAGATTGCAGACAAAATATCCACTGTATTCACAATGTTGCCATGCTTCCTTGTTGTACAAAACTATGTAGAATGTTGAATAAGATTAAAAGGATGATCATATATGCTTACTGAATGGTATGCAAGATTTAGAGTCAGCCGCAGACTGAAGACACTATCTGGATATTGCCTGGACACAACGAGGGAAATGATAAAAAACATCAAATTTGGATGGCCATGAGCCTCGCCAAAATTTGAGCTGGTTACCTCCAAAATACAGGCCTACAGCATTTCTGTTACACCAGTCTGATGTTGTTTCACAGCAAGAGACATACATAAACACTACACACATTTTTATAAATTTGTCAAAACTTGGTAACAAATAGGTGTACACATGTAACTTAAATATGATAGTTGTATGTAAGGGGGCATGCAGCAGTGTAGTTGGTTTAGGCTCCATGCTAGAAACCAGAAGATCACTGGTTCAATTCCCAGTGAGGTCAATGGATTTTTCAATTGACCTGATCCTTCAAGCCACACTATGACCCTGGGGTAAACTCAGCCTCTAACAGAAATTAGGGATCTTCCTGGGGGTAAAGGGTGGCAGCATATAAGGCTGACAACCTCACTGCCATCTGTGAGCAAACTGTCTGGAAAATGTGGGCACCTCGACGTCTCAACCCTATGGGCCTCCACAGCCTGTTATAGGGACAGCTTTACCCTTTTTTTTTCCATACCTTTAGTTGTGTGTAAGAACATACTTTTCAACAACAACTATACATTTTCATTAGTTGCCAATATAACAAATAATTTTCAAGACACTCTGGGAGTTCACTATAACAACACAACACTATATGAATGAATTGGCTAACCTTGACTGAATAAACAGCTGAACTCTTTGGGTACAAATGTAGTTCGACAAGGATGACTGCTTTTAATTTCCTGTACTGAAGGTTGGTGCAGCTTCTGAACAAAAGCTTCAATGGATGAATCACCACTGCTTACATGTTTAAATGATACTGCAAGAGCATACAAATAATGAATGGTAAGAAATTAATGTGCTCTAATACAGGAAAACCAGTGTTGTGTACAACATATTTATAGGTAAACTCCAGAGAAGGAAGATAATAACACAAGTAAGAAAATTAATACTGTTAAAAATCCTATTATTCAGTTCAGAACTGTTTACTTTTCCATCTCCTACCTAAGAATAAAATACACAAAACTTATTACTTTACTTGTTCTTTAATGTGGTTGTCAAAGTTAGTTATTTTTCTTTTTGACCCCTCAAAAGCTAGAATGTATAGCCAAAATGTGATCTTTCACATTATGGGAAGAATTACAGACTGAGAGTACTTGGGAATAGGGTGTTGAGAATATATGGACTTAAAGAGACATGAAGTAACATGAAACTGAAGGAAATTATGTAATGAGAGTTTCATAGTTTGTCCTCATCACCAAATATTAATTATTAGCATGATGAAATTAAGGAGAATGAGATAAACAGGGCATGTTGTATGTATGGAGAGGAACAGAAATTTTTAGTCAGAAAACCTGGAGGGAAGAGACCAGTGTGTAGATGTGAGGGTATTACTAACTTGGATCTTATAAGCAAAGTCACTCCTCAGCCTACAGCTTCCCACTTACAAATTTTTGGGCTAATGGTCCAATTAATTAAACTAGGACTCATTGGACTTATGCTCTGAATTTTAGGACTTTAAGACTTGAAACTTCAAATTCTCCCATTGGCAATAGATGAAGTGCTGAAAAAAAATGTTAGTATAATTATTTATAAAGTCTGTAAATGTCTGGTAGCTAGAATCATAACCAGGGCCCGGATTTTGATTACCTAAAAATATTTTAAAAATGACCAAAAAATCCAGAAAAATGACCTATAAAATGACCAAAAATCCAGAAAAATGACCTATAAAAATGACTGAAAAATCCTGAAAATTATCTAAATGTTAAAAAACGACCTAAAATGTATCATGTCATGGAAAATCTACTAATTGTTTTAAAATGTATTTTTAACCTTTATTAACAGTGTGAATTCAACATTACTCTTTTAAGTTCGTCCTCATTTTTATATTGAAAATTAAGCAACATATGATTGAATTTGAAGCTAAATGTTTTAATAAGATTTTTTCTACCGCACTGGAACGCTTATCAAATGTACATATATGGTATATATGTAGTGTGTTCAAAAAGTACTGAACCTTTGGTCGGCATAAATACATTTATTGATTTGGAGGTACAAAACCCCAATCCCCTTCAAAGTAGTCTCCTTGGTAATGCACACACTTCTCCCAGCGCTTCCGCCATTGTTGGAAACACTTCTGGAACGCGTCTTTTGGAATGGTGATCAACTGGGCCGTCGCATTCTGCATGATGTCTTCTCTTGACT